ACACCTTGATTATAAATATCAAAAAAATAATACATAGACATAAAAAAGTATATGATTTAATACTTATAATAAAGTACATAATTAAGTCGTAATACAAACACAAAAGGTAGTAAAAGGTACTAATTAAGGATTTAGTGTTTTATTTTATATATGTGAATTTTTATTTATTAATTTTAGGAGACATATTTTTTGAATGTCTTAAAATAATAAACATTTTTTATAGTTTAAGAAAGGAAAGTATTTTTTTATAGTTTAATCTTATTATTATTTCTTGATTTAATAAATATCAAATATAAAAAAATCTTTTTATTTTTTTAAAAGAGATTTTTTAACCTATGCCCTAAAAAGTAATAAAGATACCTTTTTGTCATTAATTTGTACTAAAAAATAAAAGTTGACCTTTAATTTATCAATAGTCCAACTAAATTTATTCATTTAGCATTAATACTAAAATTATTAGGTTTTATATATAATATCATATGTATTAATTTATTTAATAATATAATTTATATTACATCATTAGTTTCAAATTTTGGTTTCAAAATTTCCTTTTAATTTTTTCACTGTCCAGCTTGTAAATGTTAATATTCTATATTTTTTGAATTAATATTTTTTATTTTTTTGGATACTAAAAAGATAAAAAAAAATAAAAACTAAAGTATTGCATTCACAAACTACGACATAAGCCGCCAAACTAACCCATTTTCGCACATAAACCCTCTAAACTATTTCTATCCTTACAAGCCCCTTAACTTTGGGATATAAGCAAATTAATCCTTTGTTAATGCTTTCGCTGCTACTCGTTTAAAAATCTGATCATGCCAATCAAAGGAAATAGTTAAATCATAGTAGTGCATATACTTTTCAAATTTTAAATAACATTAATCCCTACACTTAAACAAGCTTTACTAAAAAATTAAAAAAAAAAAAAAAGTATCAATCCTATTAGCAGACATTCCAAAACCCCACCATGGCTTTCATCTTTCAAGAAATCCATTAAACATCATTTTCCAAATTTCTCCCCAACTCATCCCAAAATCAAAATAAAAAATAAAAAAGGCAAAAAAGTCAAGATATATATTTTCAACATTAATATCCTTGTTTTTTCTAATGTGAGCAAGTATAATTTTGTATTGATCTAATTGTAAGAGGAAGAACTTGTAAAGCTGAAATGAAATCTATTTATAAATTAAATAAGTACAAACTATGTTTTTTTGTACATCAGAAGCTATTGAAGCTTAATATATAAGGAACATGGCCCCAGTACAATCACCCTTCAGGAGCATGCTAAT